TAAGTAAATCAACTACAGGAAAAAATATAGCAAAAAAGAAAAAATCTAATAATCAAATGTAGAACAAATTGGTGAATAGCTATAACGCAAATAAAAATTAAAGATAATGTCTTCTTCGCTAACCGTCTTTGGGATGCGCCCCGCACACGAGTTTCAGTCAAAAAACTAGTGGCATCCTGAATGCACATGTGACTACTATGTATCGATCAATATCCTGATGAATTGTAACCTTCAGGGATTGTTATGTTGAAGATGTTATGTGCTTATTGAACCTGTTGAGACATGCAAATACGTGTGAAGTGTTTGGTTAATTTCTTTCATTGTCGGATTATTGCAATTTCATGGGAGATCGATTTGATCGATTGTCGATTGATTGCCGTTTCTTCCTTGCGAAAACTGATCGCCCCTCGTGGACGACGGACTGAATCACTGCTTTTGGGTTGCTTTTGACAGAGATTAGAGTATGTCACTTGTATCGTACTCATAAGAGCTCGGAATGCTACCATTTCCTTGAAGTTCATCACAATTTGAAGCCCTGATATGACGCTGGTAGGAGAGTTTTTGAAGAACAGTACATTAAAATAAAGGATAAAAGGATAAAGTTTTTGGCGTTAATCAATCCCGTCTGAGGGATGCGCCCCAGCACTCGACTTCCATTCAGAATCGTAGTGGCGTTATGAGTGCATATGTGGCCTATACAATGACTTGCGGTGGCCAGCCGATGTACAAGTCAGTGCTTTCATCCTCCCAGAGGAGTCTGGTACCAATTCACCGACCCTGGAGGGATGGTAGGCTTGGTTAGCCTAGGCGGGCATCGATCCGGGATTCGAACCCCTGATTGTGCGTGTGAGATAGAGCGCCACTTGCCACTACACCACCTCCGTCCTGTCACAATAAAACACAAAACAAAGCAATTGAAACTTGAGTGGGAGCCCTTCTGAGAATGCACGGTTCAGTTCATTCCGCAGATTGAAGAGAGTACATATCGAAACACGGAACGCGGAAATCGTAACGCTCAAATAGACCGTTTTTCTGAACCGGAGACCTTCGTTAGTTAAGTCCATTGTACTTCACTACTACACTGAATTCCAATCCANGCGTTATGAGTGCATATGTGGCCTATACAATGACTTGCGGTGGCCAGCCGATGTACAAGTCAGTGCTTTTATCCTCCCAGAGGAGTCTGGTACCAATTCACCGACCCTGGAGGGATGGTAGGCTTGGTTAGCCTAGGCGGGCATCGATCCGGGATTCGAACCCCTGATTGTGCGTGTGAGATAGAGCGCCACTTGCCACTACACCACCTCCGTCCTGTCACAATAAAACACAAAACAAAGCAATCGAAACTTGAGTGGGAGCCCTTCTGAGAATGCACGGTTCAGTTCATTCCGCAGATTGAAGAGAGTACATATCGAAACACGGAACGCGGAAATCGTAACGCTCAAATAGACCGTTTTTCTGAACCGGAGACCTTCGTTAGTTAAGTCCATTGTACTTCACTACTACACTGAATTCCAATCCATAATATATGAGGTTTGATGACGTGGTAAAGTACCTACGAGGGCCATCCTCCGACGACATATGTTGACCTCTGCGAAGATTTACACTAAAATTCCCTCTCAACTTACCCTACGCACACTATTCATCACATCTGGTCATCCAGCTAAGCTGTTCTGCCTCTCACAGTTAAATGCCCACCCTTCTCCCGTTGGTCCCTCCCAGTAAGTACAGTTGACCCACTTGAAAACCGAAGGAATTTCGAGAAAATAGGACTTTTACAACTTTTGATAGAGCACGTGACAGGAACACCTATAAAAATGCTGAAGTTACCAAATTATTATAGTAGAGCCGACTCGAGCGGGGTCCAGCCCTGGCGCCCCTAGGTACGGTATCAAAATGTTCAGTCTGTCGTTGCGTCCGTCATGCTTTTTTGTCGTCGTCACGGACAACTCAATTCTAACTAGTCATAGATCAATTCATTCACATGTTTCGTCGTCTTGCACGCCTGCTTTGACTGATGAAAGAAATCATGAATCACTACGTTATGGCGTCGAGTCCACGTCTTCCACGTACAAATTAATCGTAAGATCGATTTGTGGCGGTTTTTTTCTGCAGAGTTCACTTATACATTGCACTGTTCGAAAGTGTAGTTCCTTTTAAATCTTTTTGATTCTTTACAACCGGATTTCTTCTGAAATGTCGTCAGTCATTCATAAGGCCAACATAGATATAAGCAGTCTGGTTAAAAACCTTTTCCTTTATTCTATCAAGGTGGACAGAGCTCAAGTTCGATGGATCGCTTGGCACTATTCTCCTTTTGGGATCTGTAATAGCGAGCTGAAGGCGTGTTACAAATTCCTTGGGGCCGTTTAGGTTATGAAGGCCAAAATGAAGGGGACTTGATCATGAAACGTGAGCTCTGAAGTCAGGAAACGTTACTTTTTGTAAGTGACAGAGTCCTTTCAGGGTTTTCAAGCGTAAGCGCTATGCGATAGACTAGTTACACATGTTTGACACCTTTGGGGCTGAAAGGAAAGGTTTCTGTGACGTACGGAGGAGGATGCCTCATGGAGACGCCTGGGAAATGGATTTGGGTTTGCCCCTGGAAGTTGTGAAGGGAATGATAAGGCGATCGACAAGGATACGTACCTTTTTGCGTCTTCCATGTGTCTGCTAATGCTCTATGTCTTCCTACACTCATCTTCTTTGATTCATAGATGATGTTCCATTCAGTGCAAGTCATCATTCTTTAGGTTAACACAAGCTAGTCATCTTTCTTACCGACTTACTGTTTTTTTTTTGTATCTCTGAACCCATTTTCCGTGGGAACCATGCCACTTACATGCATGCCTCTGCAGTCCAGGTTACCAGATCAGTTTTCGAAAAGCCTAATGTCGAGTTTATTTAACTCATTTTTTGGCCAGGAATGACCTTTTCCGTGTCGTACCTGCTATTGAAATTGATATTTCCTTAAATGTACATTCGATTGAACTATTTAAGAAACACCGACTGGTTACCTCTCGCGCGTGCGATGTTGGCGACACGTCAACGGCCAGAGGCGTTCGCATGGAGCCCATCTGGGGTTGGATTCCAAGTGAGTCGTTCTAAACAATGGATACATTTACTTGTATCGATCCTCATCTGGTTTCTCCTCCAGTTAAGAATTTTGCGGTATTTTTAATGCCTATGAGAAAAGATTTTCAATGCCCATGATAGAATTGTCCAACACCGAATCTTTTTTACATACGCCGTCCTCCTACTGCAGCAGCCCAACTACGATGCGTGCGGTCGGTAGGGCATCGGGATAAAAGTTTTTTTCAACTGTTAACATGAAAGCTTCTTTTATACTGTCTCATATAGCTATACTTGGTAGAATGTTTTCTTACATAACCTAATAGGTGAAGACAAAGATGAACTCATACCATTTTATGAACTACCAAAAGGGATGATCAATAACTTTTTCGCTGAGGCCTCCTCGCTAAATGTCAGGTGCTTTTATTGGTTGACGGCGTTCAAGATTTTGGTAACACCGTTTACTCAACTGTGAGGTGATTCGTATGCTTCCATGAGTCGTTTTGAACTCGACGGTCGGCTTGCAACATGGGGTCGACTCAAAAGCAATCGTACGATGTGGAGTGGTTACTGGTTATTGAAATTCTGGGCAAACTGCACTTTTAGGGGTTTTCATTTGAGTCAATCACATTCATTGCAGCAGCTTCTTTAGGACCCTTCATTGAAATCTAGGACGTAAACATCAATATTTACTGCCTCGCTCTTTTCCGACGGTTGGTATTCTTCGGGCTAGTCGCAGTGTGGACTTGATCAATTTCAAAAAATTTTGCCTCTGCTTAAACGATGTTGAATGTTTCAGAGGAGTATCTCACTAGTGACTGTAAGTAACTGTTTAGGGAGGAGTGATCGCTGAATATGCCCACTATTTTGATCCCAACGCTACGAGCAGCCACGCAAGACTCGATCTCATAACCGTCGCCGACATTTTTACAAAGCCTTTCAATGCCATCGTTCCTTCTACGCAGTCGGTATCATGTGAATACAGGCAAGTTTTGAACTTACTGACACTGCTGTAGCTTGACGAACTTTCATTAAAACTGGTTTTGTCACTGAACTGCTTTTTTCTTACTTATCCTTCAGAGAATTAGACCAAACCTTCTGAGCAAATTAAGCATTTGCTTAGAGGGTCTGGTCTGACATTTTGTAGTTGGCTCATTTCTTCTCCGCTTTGTTACGGTCACATCTTTGTGAAGTTGCTAAGTGAGGTTTACTTGATGGTTCCAATGCAGATGATAACCTTAGCATGTATTCTAATCCTAAAATTCTTACCTAACTTTGACGAGTCATTGTGTTCTGCATAACCGATAATCATACCGGTTAAAGCGACCCTTTTCTGAAGGAATATTTATCTTGTGGTTCCCACTTATTTGACTTCCCTGAATCCTCTCATTTTTTGAGCCAACGTTCTTATTAAATAGTCATCTGCAGGTTTAACGAGCTGTCATGGGCGCCTCTGACATCAGAGTCGCATCCTCTGGGACTTATTTTTGGCGGAACTGAAAATGGCACCGTTGTCTTTCTAGATGCTCAGAAATTAGTGAATGGTAAATGTACTCCTTTATATTGTGGGTTTTTGTTCTTCTTAATGTTTGGCCCAGGTTCTACTCTGCTTCAGATTCATCGCTGTCTGTTGTATCCTCTCGTCGTGACCATCAAGGCCACGTACTGTCAGTGGACTATTCGTCTGACTTCCGATGGGCAATGTCAGCTGGTAGTGCTCAGTTATTGCTATGGGATCTGACGAATCTCGCAACCCCTTTCTCACCTGGTACTCCGAATTTTGCTGAGCAGGTAACGCACAATTATGTTTCAATACCTTTAATTCTTATTTTATGCTCACAATATGCCTGTTCTGCTTTTTGTTACTTTTTCATTCATCTATTTGTGCCCCAAAGCCTGCAGTAGAGCACCCACATAGCAACATTTTTAGCAATCTCAGCACTATTTTTGACTTTTACCATGATATGGAAGAAGAAGTTCCTATTTCTGAGCTATCATTAGTTTGGATCCCCCTTTCTAGTGACTTCTGTTGCTCAAATTTTCCGTGCGTGTCCCAAGTTCCTCATTGTCGGAGTGATTAATAGCGGACCCTAACAGGGCAACCTCTTCTCCTAAGCCCCTCGTGGAAGCAGTGGCAATGAACCGGGCCTTAAGTACGGAACATAATCGAAATTTTGTTCAAGTTGTTTTTGCGCGGTGTTCTGGAATCTGGATTT